TCATATGGGATGCTGGGAATCGAACCCGGGTCAGCCGCTTGCAAGGCAAACGCCCTACCCACTGTGCTATCGCTCCAGTCCCCTTCAATCGTGTTTTAAATGCAACAATGATCTGTATTCTCTAGCTCTTAGAAACTTGCATTTATCCTTTTATTTTCTCAACTCCCATTGACCTCCAGATTTATGAGCAAAATGGCATTTCTCAGTTTGTATTCACTGTGTACAAGTACTCCTTGACATCCCTATTTGGGAGCTGGCAAGATGTTTACCATCCCACTCCTCAATTGTAAATTTGGCACTGAAAATGGATTCCTATCGCTTTGGGGTTTTTTTTTTATATTAGATAGTTAGAGTCAGTTAAAGCTTTTGTAATGCTATAAAAAAGCACTGTCCTCCCATTGTTCATCGATTTGCTCGAGTGGGCCCAGTAACATTGTGAGACTTCTTGTTATGTGTTTGGCATATCGAATATGTCACGGGGAGCCTGCCAGTCTTTGCCTTGTGGGCTAGATACTCTCGGTAGCTTGCTGGGCTCTCCAAGAGGGGTGGAGGAATCGAACTTGGGTCGGCCCTGTCAGCCGCGTGCAAGGCAAACGTTTTACCACCTGTGCTATCTTATATCTGGTTTTTTAAAAAGGAAATAGTCATTATAATAGATTGATTTTTTCCCACAAAAAATCATTTCTGGGGGCTGGAGCAATAGAACAGTGGGTAGGGCGTTTGACTTGCACGGGCCAACCCGGGTTCAATACCCAGCATCCCATATGGTTCCCTGAGCACCGCCAGGGATAATTCCTGAGTGTGGAGCCAAGAGTAACCCCTGTGCATTGCTGGGTGTGACCCAAAAAAGCAAAAAAAAAATTAAATTAAATAAAAAACCAAAAAAATCATGTCTGGTAGTATTTATCCACCAGCAGAATCGGACAATATTTATTATATGACCCACTGACATTTCCAATTTAACAACTTGGATGAATACTATAGTTCAGTCAAATAATGTTTTAGCTATCATTGTGTCTGGTAGTGAGATTCTCATTTCTATGAGAATTTCAAGACTAACCTGACCCCACTGAAAGGCATTATGGTAGTCAACATCAAACCACAGGAAGTAGTCCCTGAAACGACAACAAGAAGAAAAATTATTATAGTACTTGAGCTACCAATGGAGAAGGCCGTTCGAAGAGTTGAATGGACAAGAAAGGTTGGGAGACCCAGGCATTTTTCCGGTAGAGGAGAGGTATGATGGAGGGGAGCAGAGACCAAACCTAGACAGGGGATAAGAGCAGGAAGCTCAGGAGTCCTTTTGTTTTAGAAATTGCTTTTTGGAGCATCCCATTAATAACAATGTTATTCCTACTCCATCATCTTATAAAGATAAAGTTGAAGATCACAGATAATAACTTATTTTTCATCCACATCTGTTTAGTTTTTACTCATTTATATTTTTATTTTTCTCGGGGCTTTGTGTGTGTATGTGCGTGCGCACACACGCATGCCTGCACTCATGCACGCACACACACCACATATAGCAGTGCTCAGGGCTTACTCCTGGCTTACTCAGATCTTACTCACCTGTCATCTCAGCAGGCTCAGGAGTCCATCTGTGGTGCTGAAAACTGAACCCCAGTCAGCCATGTGCAAGGCAAGTCACCCAGTTGCTGTACTATCTCTCTGGCCCTCCTCTGGCCCTGTTTTGATCACTGAGTGGTTCTAATATAGTAACTATTGATAACCTCATTCTTTGACCCCTCTAATCTCTTTCTCCTTATTTTATTTTGTTTTTATAGTATCAAATCATCAGCTCTTGACATTCAGCTTTTTGTTTTTATTTTATTTGGGGATCACACCCAGTGGTGTTCAGGGCTCACTCTTGGCTCTACACTCAGGGAAAACTTCTGGTGGGCTCCTGGAAACCATATGGGGTGATGGGATTCAAACCCAGGTTGGCCATGTGCAAGGCAAATACCCTACCCACTCTGTTGTCTCTTAGTCCCCAACTCTTGGCATGAATGAATGAACCACACATATTAGTCTGGTCATGAATCACTCCCCTTTTTCTATATCCCCATAGCTTGAGCATATGCAAATTCCCATCGTGTTTAATCAGTGGAGTGTGTATAACCTACCCTACTAATTTAGGTACTATTTTTGGTAACTGATTATAGATAATTGTATACTGATCTTTTCACTATATGTGTGATTCTCTCAAGTTTGCATAAATCACATTTGCTCATTAAGATTGTAAGTGCTAAGAGATGGAAAATAGGAGGGGTAGCTGGAGTATGTATTTCAAATTAGACCTTTGTGATACTGTGTCATTGCCATAACCGACAGCTCACAAGCTCTTGGAGAACAGCTTTAGTCATCTTTAAGACGTCAGTAACGCTTACCCCCCTGAAATGGTACAGGAGAGTAAATGGAATTATGTGGGACCCTGCACATTTCTTTCTCTGCTTTTAAATTCTGTCACTTCACTCATTCTGGTAACACAATGTTACATGTGGGTTTGAATGATACTAAAATTTGAGCTAATCAAATCCTTTACCATCTCCTTTCAACATGGTCAGTTATAAAAAAATATTTCTTTAAGAAATCAGTTAAAATTAAGAATCAGTAATTTTTAAATGCCAAGAACAAGGAAAACAGAGACCCAATATTATACATGGTTCTTTTCTTTTTTTGCTTATTTGTTTGTCTTGGAAACCACCTTATATTTGTTTCGCGCACTTACTATGAATTAATTTCAGCTTATTTTTTTTATTTTAGTTGATCATATGATTAACAGCATTAGAGATGGTAATAGTTGCTGATGGGAAGTCTGTTCAAATTTAGAAAGTAAGGGTGGAAATCACGGAAATCATTCACATAAAACCTGGCATCTTGACATAAAATCCAAAAATTTGGGCAGCAGTGTTCTGTACTAGCTCAACTACAGGACATGAAAATTAATGTCCCCGTGATCGCAGCCTTGTTTAAATAACAGTGTTCCTCAACCCCGAGGAATCCAGACCTCGATTAGCTGATGCAGTTCATTATTTATAATAGCACTTACGGGTAAAGAGGAAGAAGTGAAACCTTAGACACTGAGGCTTGACGAAGGGGGCTTTTATGTCTAATTCTCCAGTGGGGAAGAGGTAGTCAGGGTGGTGACTCATAGATTAGCGATGGCCCAGCTGTCCACTGAGCGTGCCTGGATCTCCTGTGTGTAGTCACGCCTCGCTGTGCCAGAGAGAGACGGCTGAAGGCAAATCTTCCCGGAATTTCTCAACTGACATCATCTCATTGCTAGGGAGAGTTAGGGAGAGTGAGGGACGTTTTGCTGCTCCACCGTCAACAGTTGGAGGTTGTTTTTCACCAATTTCCCCCAAGCATTCCAGTGAGTTGCTTGGCATTCAATCCAGCACTAAGCCTTTAAAACTGATACTCAGGATCATACTCCTAAAGCAACTGGTAATTTCATTCTGATGTACTGAGCTAATCTATTTGGGGTGTCTATGGGGGATGTTCTCTCACTTTCAGAAGATAAAGCTGGGATTGGTTTTGTTTTACTTTGAGGCATTTATTTTACAGAAGTGTCTCCCTTGTCTTGGTCATATTTCATGTAAGTCAATCCAAACACAAAAGATAAAGAACATAAAAAATATATATCGAGACAGATAAGCACTCAAAGATACAAAGCATTAAAAAGTATGCAAGGCAGATAAAGCAACAACCACCAATACACTCTTGAAATCCCATCTCTGTATTCTTTTGTCTATGTTATTGTCATTTTTTAAATTTTAATATTGATTTTGGAGTCACACTCGACAGTGATCAGGTGCTATTACTGCCTCTGTCCTCAGGAGTGACCCCTAACTCCGTCCTCAGAGTGACCCTTCTGTGGAGGGGACCATATGCAGGGCTGGAGGTCGGCTGCACGCAAAGCAAAGCTTCTCATCTCTTGTATTACCTCTCTGCCTCCTGTCTGTGATAGTGTTTTCTTACCTTCTCATAATAACTAGGAAATAATAAAATAAATAGGCCCAAACATAGGCAAATAAATGTACGAATAGGCTATCAGTGTGATATGTCATTCTGGTTTGGGGTACATATTTTGTGGTTTAAATAAAAAATTATTGTCACTGTACTTTATTTTCCTTAATAATTTTCTGGTTTTGTTTTTTAGTTTGTTTATTAAGATACAGTTTGTCTAAGGATCCCTGTGTGGACAAGCGCATTTCATTCATGAAACCAATCAGATTGGGATCAACAGAGATTATGGTTTTAAAAAGGCTATTTTTGTTTAGTTTGGGACAGTTTCCACGGCGGTATAAATACTCTGGGTGGAAGGCATCCTTCACCATTTCTGTTCACTTTTTAATTCTCCTGGATAGACCATATCCCTCTGACTCTTCCCAACCCAGTGAAGGCACGTCCTGTGACACATTCTTCTCATGAGTGTGTCCCATTTCTTGTCTGTTTCATCCTCTAAACTAGATCGTGGAGGCAGGGCATTACACTTGTCTTTGTCTCCCTAGCTAAGTAGGGAGCTAAATAGTTAACACATAGTTAAGGGCTTTAAAAATGTTCACTTAAAAATATTTAGACGAATGAGGAATCTAAATTTCTTCCTCTATGGCATTCCAGTCTATCTGCTTATTTTTAAAAAAATCCCCTTAAAGCACTATAACTGAATTTTGAGAAATAATCACTGAGCCATCAAGTCTAGACTATTTGATGATTTAGCATTCTGTCTACCAACCACTCCCTCCTCCAGGGTAGGCTACCTGGACCATAATTTTTCTCTGCCCCGCCTGGGGTGTCATTTACATTAATACCTGAAACCCCATCAACAGCTTCCAAAGTGTTTATGATCACGTCGATAGTGAATGTGAATGGTCTGCCCATACCTTCGTCCTCCTGGATTTTGAAATTCAGACAAAAGTCTTTTTTTTTTTTTTTTTGTATGGAGCATGGCAAGGGAGGAGGTGTTTTGCAAGCGGGGCACGTGCTGCGGGAGATGGCTTCCCTGGAATCGCGTGGAACCAATGGGAGCATCCGAAGAGCGTTTCCGGGCGTTATAAATACTCGAGTGGGCGACATCCTTTACCAGTTGATCTTTTCTTTCCTGAGGACCAGCTGTTCCCAAGCATCCCGGACGCGAGCCAAGCAGATCTGAGACCTGGATCTGACCACAGGCCGAGGTCCCGGTGCAGCTATGTCGTTGTTGGAGGAAACGCGGCCGTTCGCCCAGCAGCTGTCCAATGTCTACTTTACAATACTCTCGCTCTTCTGTTTCAAACTCTTCGTGAAAATCAGCCTGGCCATCCTGAGCCATTTCTATATCGTGAAAGGCAACCGCAAGGAAGCGGCCAGGATTGCCGCGGAGTTTTATGGAGGATCCCAAGGACAAGGTACGTTTGCAGCCCACGTGTCTTGGTTTCACTTTCCTGGGCTGATCACCACGTTTCACACTGGCATCAAAACCCAGCATAGGGTGGGCTTCAAAGTGACGATGGGAAACTTCTTGAAGCACGAAAATTGCCGAACTCACCCGTGGCATCACTAAAGAAAAAAAAGTATTTTTGTTGCTTAAGTGCTTGGGTTAATAAAAGCAAAGCATCGTTGCAGAAAACAAATAAAATAGATTAAGTATCCTAATAAATTTATCTTTCCCTTAGTGAATATTTTGAAGCTTTAAACGTTTCATTTGCCAAGTCGTCTTCATTTCTGAGGCTTTTAAAGTGGATCGTGATTTGATTGTCCTCTAACATGCGCCTGAAACGTTTACATTTTGTTGTTGTTGTTGTTGTTTTGCTTTTGGGGTCACCCCCAGCGATGCTCAGGGGTTGCTCCTGGTTCTGCACTCAGGAATTGCTCCTGGTGGTGCTCGGGGAAACCGTATGGGATGCCAAGGATCAAATCTGGGCCTGCCGCGTGTGAGGCAAATGCCTTCCCCACTATACTATTGCTCTGGCCCCTTTTATAATTTTTTTCATACAATTTTTAGTTCTATTTTACTACAGAGAAGAATGTGAAGTTTTTATTTGTCCTCCCAACTTTTTGTTTTACCAAAACTAGTCACTTGATTATGGATAAAGCACAAGGTGGCAAAGATTAACGTTTATGACATGTGTTTTCCTCATGCAATTCTTGATTTGTTCAACATATAAAAATACGTTAGTTGTAAGAGGATAGAAGCAGCGATTAAACAAATTGAAGTAAGAAAGAATAATTTTCCAGTGAGAAAAAATAATTTTACCACACAGTTAAGCTTGAAAAATCATTCACATATTACTGCACCAATATTCTGAATGCTAAAAATGATTCATTGATGGCCTTCAGGATGACATTTAAATTCCGATTATCTTTTTTTTTTTATCAATTTATGATTTGAAAATGAATAGGCAAGCATGCACTTCTTAGCATCTCTAACATAAGTAAAAATTCAAAATTTACTGTCACAGAATTAGAGAATGCTTGGTTTGGCTTGTTCTCTTTAAGAGAACACATAGAAAGCCCAGCATTGTAAAACCCCATTTTTCTACAATTGTCAACCTGTGGCATAACTCATGCTAAAATCTTAGCTATTTTAAAGTGGAAGAGTATGCACACTCATTCAAAGTGAGCAAATATCGAAAAGCCAGTTTCAAATATTGAAACTCTCTAGGATTTGAGGCCTAGAAGAAATTAGTCACATTTATTTAAATTTATTTTTTGTTTTTGACTTTTGGGGTCACACCCAGTGATGCTCAGTGGGTCATTCCTGGTTCTGCATTCAGGAATTATTCCTGTGGCACATTGAGGGTTGTATGGGATGCTGGGGATCGAACCCCGATCAGCCACATGCAAGGCAAATACCCTAGCTGCTGTACTCTTGCTCCGGCCCAGAAATAAGTAATATTTAATCCTTCACTCATCAGCTCTTTCAGAACAGATGTAACTATGTCAACATGTTATATATGAAGTGATTCAATCAAAAGTAAAAATATTAGTTGGCAAATGGAAAATTTTCCTACAAAATAGCAAACATAAGAAATGAGTTTTAAAACAAATACTTAATCTATGTTATTATGTGATAAAATTTTTTTTCCCAAGCAGGTTATAGCTTTAATTTTTCAGTCTCATCTTGTTTGTGTATTGTGAAAATTTCTGTAGGATTTGGAATGTTTGCCAAAAGAAAAAACATCTGTGTGTGTGTGTGTGTGTGTGTATTGACAAATATTTTAGAGGAAGGTATGGCAATTTATACATATTTACAGATAAAAAGTCATTTATCTCGTCTTCTACTTATCTGTGTGCTGTGTGCTTATGCTGGTAAATAAATGAAATATGAGAAGTGGTTTCTATCTACTTTTCCGAATCTGTGCAACAATATACAAAAACTCCAAGATTATTTTCTTAGAGGGAAAGAAAGAAATCAGCATTAGCTAATAGAAGTACTTCGCCAAGCTATAAAATGGGAATGTAAAAATCTTTCAAAACTTTGTTTTGTGTTGTTTTTAGTGTTAGAGCCATTTGACAAAATCTTCCCTCTTGATTTTTTATTATATATGAGATAATAGTACACATTATTTTAAGCTTCATTCAGATTAAGCATTAACAGTCTCCAACTTTAATATTAGGAGAACTAGCAGACAGAAAAATTTGTTAATAATCTCCAGTCTCTGAGAGGTCATTCCTTCCTGCTCTGAAAACTATTCCATTCTCTATATTTACATAGATTTGACTTTATTTACCATCGTGAAGCTATTTAAATTGTTTATGTTTCTATCAGTAGTCAATCAGGCTTAAATAGCTTTTTTTGAGCTAGCAATTTGCTTCTTCTAAGGAGAGATTATTACCTTCTTTCCTCTTTAAATTTGGTTTCTTATTTCTGCATGCAGGACCATGCTCATACAGTTACCAAACATTTCTGAGGCAGAGTCGCCAGATTCGGTGAAATAAGGGAGGAAGTGTATTTTTTCATGTATTTCATCATAACTGTAAACACATCTTGTTGACAGTGTTCTGTATATTCTCTTCCTGAGTAGTGGTACTTTTGTATAAGGTAAGGGAAACTGCCTTTCTTAGATAGCATTCCAAATCAGTTGGCCACATGAGATAAATGTGAGATAGCATTTTTAAAAGCTCTTTTCTGCTAGACTTTTAATCAAAGGATAGCAAAATGTTGAAAACCTAGATGGAAACCCAAGTAGCCTCACAGAATTTCCTTTCTTTATTTCTTAACTCTTCTGCAAAATCTTACAAATCTTCCTTTTCATATTTTTCGTACTGAAGTCTTCCATCAATTGAGTCACTATGTTGAAGAAACCTATTCGTCATGCTCTTCTATTTAATACCTTCTGTAGCTGTCTGGCTATTAAATGCTCTGATGCACTCTGTATATTAGTGATCTGGTCTATTTTTAAAGGTAGCACTATGCCTGGAGATTGACAGTGAAACTAACAGGAATTGAAAGATGGTTTCAACTGTTAATGTCGAATAGTGCAGAGAGCGAATGAGATTGTGAAAGGGATACGTTGGTTTGATGAAATCACTCCAAGGCCTAGAGGAAGCCTTGTCCTACTAATATTACAAGGACTCTTTAACAGGTAACATCTGTCTTTTGTTTAGGGTGATACTTTTCAAGTTTTATCTTGTGCTCTGCCAATGCTAACAGATCTGTCTGGTTTTTCTTTAAAAGCACCCCTGATACCAAAATATGGAAAAAAACATAATTAAAGGAAAAATGTATTATTCGCAACATTAGCTAATATTCCAGTTGAGATGGTAGTCTTTATATCTATATAATTTATTTCAAGTCTGAAGAATGGAAATGTCAATTTCAGATTTAGCCTTCTGAGATGTAATTATGGAGGAATCTGATCTTGAATTAGTCTTCAAAAAAATCAGATGTTTAGGAGTGTATACAGATTCTTTTAAAATATAGAATTACCAGGTAGAGAGTTCATGAAATTGAAAAGGATAATGGGTACAGATATGAAAAATGTTAAACAGCAATTTGGTCTTAGTTTTTAAAACACTGTTACCAACAGTTTGGGGTATGAGTGAAGGTATAAAAATGACAAAACATGTTTAGAAATCCAAATTTAGCTTTATTGTTGCTTGTAGTATTCTCTGGGGCTGGGCAGTGGAGCAGATTTGAAGTGGATAGACCAGTTAGGCACCAGTCAAAAGCAAATAAGAATCTAGATTTGTTTGATGATAGTGGCATGGAAGAAAAGAAAGAATATCAACAACAAAAAGAATGAATCTGGAATTACTTTTAAATAGCACCAGTATATTGGTAACTGACGCTCTCCCAGGATTATATATTAAGTAATATGAAAAAAATAGCAGATCAGTTATGAAGATATAAGTCACAGAAATGAGTGCGTTCCTGGCATGACAAGGCACCAGGTTTGTCCCTGGCTTCGCATGACCTACTAAACACTGCAGGGTACTTCCCTGGTCCCTTGCATCACTGGGGAACTCCTCCCCTCAAAATGAGAATAGGACAATCAGAAGAGAAATTAATCATCCAGATAGATACAAGTGGCCAGTTCCCAGACAATGCCACCTATGGGAAATAGATGTTCAGCTATCCAATTCATTCATGAAGAATTAGGATAAATTAGCAATTATATAGCATTCTATAGCCGTGCAATTGACTTAAGAAACACATTCATTCTCTTCCATTTTCTCATTATCAAGAACCCTTCTAATTATCGTTGGTGCTCCATCTGTATTTGTCCACAAAAAAAGAATGTTCCAGCTTGCTTCCCAGAGTGTTTTAGTCCATCTGACAACTATGAGCCTCATTGTAAATAATAATTTGCACCTCAAAAATCATTCTTTAGTACTTTGTGGTCTTTGAGCAATAAGTTCACTTCTGATATGTGAAATTGCTCCACATGTAAGTCCACTGATCAAATTTTATGCTGTGGAAAATTCTCCAAGGTAATATCCGTGACGCTACTTGAAAAATAGCCTGGTGACATCTAAACCTTTCAGGCACTGTGTTCCTGTTTGAAACTTTTATAGAATACCACTGCACTGCAGCACTGTCCTCCCGTATTTCATAGATTTGCTCGAGAGGGCCCAGTAACGTCTCCATTGTGACACTTGTTACTGTGTTTGGCATATGGAATACATCACGAGTAGCTTGCCAGGCTTTGCCGTGCAGGCGAGATACTCTCAGTAGTTTGCCAGGCTCTCCAAGAGGGGCTGAGGAATCGAACCCAGGTCAGCCACGGGCAAGGCAAATGCCCTATCCACTTTGCTATCGCTACTAGTACTGTGTATAAATATACAGAAAAACTATTGCAAGGAAATGTATCTAACTACTGATAAAAAATAATGCTTCATTTTTAGTTTTGTGTCTATCCTTTTCTCTATGAGTTCTATTTACAATAAGCAAATATATAATTAG